CAGAACCATCACATCCATCCACAGAACCATCACATCAGTCCACAGAATCATCACATCCGTTCACAAAACCACATCTGTCCACAGAACCATCACATCCGTCCACAGAACCATCACATCAGTCCACAGAACCATCACATCTATCCACACAACCATCACCACATCAGGCCACAGAACCATCACATCCAACCTTCACTTGCCCTCCAATGCATGACCAGGCCATCTCCTTCTCCAGCTCTCACCCTCATGCCCAGTCCACTCTACACAACACCTGACTACTACCTGCTCCAGCTGCCCAGCCCACAGTTCCTCCCCATTGCCCTCTGAGCCACTTGCAGCCCTTCCTCATCTGCCTAGGTCTCTCCTTAAACTGCACGTTTCCATGGGGCCTTCCCAGTCCCTGAAACTGGGCTTGTCCTCAGTCACAAGCTTCCGTGGCATCTTGGGCACTCCCTTACAACCATGATCACCCTACCGTGCCCAGACCACAGCTTCCAATGGATCTAGCACTGTGTTCAGCCCACAGAGGAAGCACAACAAACAGTGAAGTTGTGGATGGTGAATTCCTAAGGACAGGAGCAAACTAGACTAAGAACAATTGGTTTCCCACCCATGTCGAAAGGGTTCTTTTCTCTTCAACTTCTACCTTTCCACTACACCATCTTCTATAACACATTGTAGGGACATGTGCATATTGGCATGGTGTGGGAGAATTGTCTGTATTCTGTCAATCATATTTTAATAAAATGCTGATTGACCAGGCAGGCAGTATAGGCGGGAAAGCCAGACAGGAAGTAGGGGTGGAGCAAAGAGACTGGGAGTATTCTGGGAAGCAGGAAGCTCCCTCTGCCATTCCTGCCCAGATCACTGAAGAGGCAACATGTGAGCTGCCATGCTGAGAAAGGTACTGAGCCGTGTGGCTAACATAGATAATGATAATGGATTAATATAAGTTACAAGGACTAATAAGAAGCCTGACCTAATGGGTCAATCAGATTTATAACTTATAGAGATCTCTGTGTGATTGATTTTCTCTGGTACTTGCCGGTTGTGAGGTACCGGGTGAGACAGATACCCCAACAAGCCAGCCGTCATGCTACATATGGTGCCCAGACGTGGATAACTGCATCCACAGAAAATCTGAGTAAGCTTGGGAAAGAATAGAGTAAAGCATGTTTTCTTGGTAGCAGCAATTTCTCGGGTCTGTTCTGCTTGCTAGAGGCAAGCAAGCGCTCTCATCTAAGAGAGGCTTCCTGACTCAGCTTTAGCTCCAAAACCCTTCAGCTCTTTTAAGAGGTCCGGCCACGAAACACTTAAACGGTGTTGATGAAAAGCTGAACACATGCTTTTCAGTTTCAGCCATAGCAGGAAAAAAGCTGCGCTGTTTTAAAATGCTGGTCGTCCTGCCAGGGCAAACTCTGACTCTTTCAGGCAGGCAGTCCGACAGAGTGTGGTCTGTGAGCAGAATGCTGCAGCTTGCTTGCTGGCAAGGACCTTGAAATGCCATAGAGTTGTGGCAGTGAACACAGCTCTGGCTATGGTATCTCAGCCATGAGGCTGAAAAGCTAAGGAATGGGCTGGATCTAACTGTCAAAGCCACGGCTTTAGTCCTACCCATTAAAGACTCATGTCAGAAAAAGAGAGATATACAGTAATGAGAGATTCAAAGACGAAGAAAACCTCTAAATGGTTTACAGTGTGTTAAAAATATATGCAGGCTAAAGGTTAAAGTCATTAAAAATAAAAAAGAAAGAAAGGGAGAAATAGGGTGTGGTGGTACACACCTTTAATCCCAATGCCTGGGAGGCAGAGGTATGTTGACCTCTGTGACTTCAAGGGGCAGAGGTAGATTGACCTCTGTGACTTTAAGGTGTGGTAGCACACACCTTTAAACCCAATGCCTGGGAGGCAGAGACAGACAGATCTCTGAGTTCAAGTTGTGGTAGCATACACCTTTGAGCCCAGCACTGGGGAAGCAAAGACAGAGGGATCTCTGTGAGTTCAAGGACAGCCTGGTCTACAGAGTTATTCCAGGGCAAAGATATACAGAGAACCTGTCTCAAAAAGTAAAAGTAAAAATAAAAGAAATAGAGGCTAAAATAAAGCTGCATAAAGATGGAAAATACACAGAGAATCTTGATACTGTATGCTATTACGCTCTCTTTGAATTGTTTGAATGCTGAGCAAGCAGTAATAGTTGCTAAAAGATATTTCTTTATAAATGCTGCTGAATTAATCCAAGATAGAAATTTTGAAAATACCTTGGCTTCAAAAGTGAAGTCAAAAGGTATGTTACTTTGGAGAAGAGATTTTGCTTTTGTTTCCACAGAAAATGAGAGGCTGTTGATTCATTCTGAGTTAAGAAAAATCAGGTTCGAAAAAGGAAGACTACCTGAGAAATCTCCGATAAGAACAGATGGCCCAGATGACAGAGTTCTACATCCAGAACAGATTCAAGACTGCTGCCTGAGATGATCAAGACTCACAGGATACTCCAGTCAGGACTTGATTATAACTCTTAAATTTTCTTTAGGTCCCCATAAGATCATCAATGCCCCCAACCAGCAGGAAGTAGCCTGAAATACTACGCCCACATTCCCAACAAATGGACTATGGGTATTTTCCTTTGTTTAAAAAAAAAAGAGGGAAATGGTGTGGGAGAGTTGTCTGTATTCTGTCAATCATATTTTAATAAAACGCTGATTGGCCAGGCAGGCAGTATAGGCGGGAAAGCCAGACAGGAAGTAGGGGTGGAGCAAAGAGACTGGGAGTATTCTGAGAAGCAGAAAGCTCCCTCTGCCATTCCTGCCCAGATCACCGAAGAGGCAACATGTGAGCTGCCATGCTGAGAAAGGTACTGAGCCATGTGGCTAACATAGATAATGATAATGGATTAATATAAGTTACAAGGACTAATAAGAAGCCTGACCTAATGGGCCAATCAGCTTTATAACTTATAGAGATCTCTGTGTGATTGATTTTCTCTGGGATTTGCCAGCTGTGGGGTACCGGGTGAGACAGATACCCCAACAAGCTGGCCATCATGCTACATTGGCATCTAAAGAAAGAAAGAGAGAACAATCTCCCTAGTGACACCCACACTGGGTTCCCTTAGAAAAGTTCTTTGTGGCAAGTCTAATGACATAAAACATACCCAACCCAAGGAGATCGATGTCTACATTGAAGCTGGAATGGTACAGCAGAACCCAGAGGAGAAGGACAATGGCATTTGGTATTCTGGTGGTGTGGGACAGTGGTCTGTATTCTGTCAATTATCTTTTAAATAAACATTGATTGGCCAGTAGCCAGGCAGGAAGTATAGGTGGGACAACCAGACAGGAAGTAGAGGCGGGTCAATGAGAACAGGAGTATTCTGAGAAGAAGGAAGCTCTTTCTGCAGTCCCTGGTCCAGCCACAGAAGAAGCAAGACATGACTGCCCTGCTGAATAAGGTACTGAGCCACATGGCTAATACAGACAAGAATAATGGGCTAGTAATGGGCTATATAAGAGTTAATAAGAAGCCTGAGCTAATGGGCCAAACCGTTTATAACTAATGTAGACCTCTGTGTGATTTTGGGGGGGACTTAATGACTGTAGGAACTGGGCAGGACAGAAACCCTGACAACATTCTGGGTCATCTGACTGGGCTATATAGAAACAAGGCAAAGGTGACAAAAAAAAAATAGAGGCCGGCTATAAAAATGTCCACATACTTAGGAAGATGCTCAGCGAAAAACGCATGGCCACTGGGCTACTCCAGGCTCATCCCTCTGTCACTTCCTTCAGGAAGAATTTCGGCGGGGGGCCTTGTCATGCCCTACCTTCATCCCTGATCCTGGTCCCAGCTGACACACACCTCTGACATAAATGATCACCCATGCTTTGCAGTCACCTCTTTCCACACTGGACAATGTTACTACAGTGTATCACTAAGGCCAGTACAGCACCTCATATATGATAAACAGTAAAGTCATTAAATAACTTTGTTGCCTTGTATTAAATATATGAATCTGTTATATCAAAAGTCTAGAATGTCCATGATTTATATTAAAGAATTAACATTCATAACTTTTTGTAAAAACATATTTTTTCTGATACACTAATCCAAACACATATCTGTCACTATCTCACCCAAAGACTAAGCTGTCAGGCACTCACAGAGTACGCATTATATGCCCTGAATTGTACTGGGAGTTACAGATCCAACAATAGCTGGGACAGATAGCAAGTCAGCAAGCAAAGACTCCTGTGCTTCTGCACAAAGGGAACAATCATCAAACAAGAGCAGCCACCAGTACCAAAGCCAGAGCCTAGAACATCTTTTGGGAGAGAGATCCTCAAAACCTCTAAGGTTTATTTCAAACAGACATCAGAAACCACTGGGGGTTTATATATATATAAATTATATATATATATATATATATATATATATATATATATATATATATATATATAATCAATCTTCTTCATATGGACTACCATGGGGGAAGGGAGGTCAACACAGTCAACCAACAGCTGGGCAGGGGCAAACTCTAGTCCTGAGGCACCAGCACTATATCCAGGTCACCAAGAGGTGTCTTTTATTGGCGCTAAGTACATCTCAGGATTTCCCACCCATATTTGCAAGGAATCCTCCAGGCAAGCAAATGGACCATTAGTGCTGAGTGTAAGGCCATTAGTCACTAACCTGTAATTCCTGTGACACACAAGACCAGAGAGAGAGAAGGGACACTATCTACATTTCAGAGTTGACTCCATCCGAGTCCGCTCCAGAGAGGGCATGTGGTGCTGAGCCCTATGTCGTTCCTACTCTCTGCCTGCTTTCAGTTTCGTGAGCCTTTCTTGTCCCCCAAGGAAGTGGGGTGGCTTTCCTACAGCATTAGCCCACTCCAAAGTCGATCTTCTGTATCATGTTCACACTGGAAAACCCAGCTGTGTTTGGGAGCTTATGCAAAGACTGTGTCCTGACCGAAATGGCTCCTTACCAAGGGATGACACAGCTGTGAAGGACAGAGGGAAACTGAGCTTCCGAGAGGAAGAGAGAGAGAGAACCACCAAGTGGCAGAGGTCGGACACAGGCCCGAGTCAGTCTTCTTCCATCGTTTTCCTCAATCACGTCTCACAGCCTCAAACCTGCTAGAATTATGGTATGGGAGAAAAAAAGACATCAAGGAAGAGAGAGAAGACGAACTCTAGATCCGCTTCTGCCTCTTCCATACTGTGTGACCGTGGACAGGTCAGACAGCCTCCTGTGGCCACCTATCTAAGCACTTGCCCCAGGCAAACTTCACACACACACACACACACACACACACACACACACACACACACGGGCAGAATAAGCAGGCAGTGAAAGTGAAATGGAACAAGTATGTGGAATGGGTAGGGATTATGACCAACCATGAGGCCCTGAGGGGATGTGGGCCCAGGATGCCCCCAGGTCTTCTGCCTTTTCCAAGAGAAACCAGACCTCTGGAGTTTCAAGTGCTGGCAACAGTCACAATTGTTTCAGACACCCTGAAGGCTCAAGAAAGCATGATGGCAGACTTCACCCCACATGGGCTGCCACTAAATAATGAGGGAGAGGTGTTCCATCAAAATCAGGGCCACCAGAACTCATAATATGAAATTCTCAGATTTAACTTTTCTTATTTGTTTTTAACTGGGATGACTTAACCACAGGAAAGTTGAGCAAGGGCTTGGCTCCTGGGACACTGAATGCGAATGTGGACATAAGTTCTATCCTTCATGTGCCCCTGCAACAATAGGAGGGGAGAGAAGATTCTCCCGGGGACCTGAAAAGAGACCAGATTGGTTGTGGACAGTTAGGAACTGGAAGTTCCCAAAGGTTCTCAGTTCCACTTGGCTGAACATACAAGCTATGGCTTAAAGCAGGGGGGACTCACATCTAAAGGACTCAACTGGAGACAGCAGCTAGGCCTCGCTTAGCACACAGACTTCAATCACTGGAGGCAGCTACCTAGAGGAGTCTGCTGAGGAACGAATTCTGTGTGAATATATGTTGTGATCAATTAGCATTGGTTGCAAGGCCTTGAGAAGAGGAAACAGCAGCGTGCATCTCTATGAGCCAAGCCCGTCCTTAAACCCGCATCAGCCACTGATTCAGCCTCATGTCCTTAAACCCCCATCAGCCACTGATTCAGCCTCAGCTTGCAGACCACATTGATGGCAGAAGGAAGACTAAAGGTCATAGGCCTGGAAGTGCATAGCCATCTTCAAGCCTAGGCTAACAAAGCTCACCCTGACGATTGCTAGCCCACATTCGCCAAGCATTTATTCATTTGCTTGATCTACATTAGGTGTTTACTGTCCTGAGCTGGACAAAGGGAAATGGAGAGACGAGCTGGACATTTTCTGTCCTGATGATGCCACCTAGATAAAGGTCACAGATAATTATATTAATCAAAAGTGGTAAATCCAGTATGACTGGGGAGCTGGGAAGTTGGAGGTAACGATCTACTTAAGGAATTCAACGGGGGTTACCTCTTCGTAGAGAATGGGAGATGAGTACAGCAGAGAGAAAGGATATAGAACAGTGGAGAACCAAATGGCCCACCCAGAAAATGGGGAAAACTCTGGCTGGAATCCCCAGAATGTGGAGTGTGTGTAAAGTGGGCTGCAAAGAGAGTTACGAAAACCCTGTAATACCACGTTTCCTTCATCGCGCTGCACACCAGTTCGGGATCCCAAGCTGGGGGACTGAAAATACAGTCCGACTTGAGTGCTAAACAGATCGCACTGGCTGCAGTGTTTGTCAGAGCTGGAGAAACGACAATGTGGACCCTTCTGCAGAGACCCTCAGAAGACAGAGGTAATTTTAGGAGATACTAAAGAAAAGGCGAGATGTGAAACTCTGGAAGAATGCAGGAGGAATCAGCTGGTCAAACAAGTAAGCTGGTGGGTGGGCCAGTAGAGGATGGGTAGGCCAGTATGGGTGGGTGGGTCAGTAGAGGGTGGGCGGGTCAGTAGAGGGTGGGCGGGTCAGTAGATGAAGACGCCTTTCACTGCCATCAGGAATGAGGGAAGAAGCAAAGGTTTGGGGCTGAACACTAAAGCGAGTCCCATTACAAATGACTTGAACTTGGGTGTGGAGAATGAAGCACACTACTTTAAGGTCAGACTTCATTCGGCTCGGGGGCTCTTCGCTTCTTTGCCAGGGCTCTTGGAATCCTCTCTCCCTTGTCTGCTCTCCAGACTTTAAGGTGATTTCCCTACGGGGCAAAAACCCATCCCTTCCACCTCACCTGCAGACCTCTGGAAGCCCCGCCTCACTGACGGCTCCTCCAACTCACTCTTCGGACCGACCCCTCGGTGACCCATCTCCAGACGCTGCATCCTCTGTCCTCCCCTCGACACACACACACACACACACACACACACACACACACACGCTACTTTCCCCTCTCACCTTCCCAGACCCCCCAGGGTACCACCACCTTCCAAGTCTCCAGCTCAACGCCTGACTCTCCGGGGCACCCCATCCGCCACCCGGACTCACCCACCGAGACACCTACTTCACAGCAGGGCGGAAGTGCTCCCAGGCTCGTGCGGGGGATGCTGGGACGAGGAGTCCCGAAGGCGCCAGTCTAGGAACCAGGTCTCCGAGACTACAACTCCCAAAACGCATTGCGCGGGCGTCTGCGGACAACTCCCCCTGTCGGCCGCCTCTCAGATGGCGTTAGCCAATGAGTGCGTCATCTTCTCATAGGCTCTGGCACCGGAACAAATCTAGCAGGGTCAACGCCTGGGGGAGTAGCCCGAGACGATTCTGACTCTTTCCATTGGTTCTTCGGTAACAGCACCGCCCAGTGGGCGGAGCCTAGATTATAATAGGTAGGGCCCTCTGAGGGAAAGAAGCTAGAGAAAGTAGGGAAGAAATAATAGTAAAAAAGGGAAAGAGGGTGGCTACTGTTAGTTTTCAAACCTAGGACAAATGGCTGACGTGCCTATAGAGACTGAAGAATGCAGGAAGGTCAAGTTCGCTTTGATATGTTAAGTAGGCTCCTCAGGTTTGAAACTTAACTGCAGTGATCATTCTGTTGAGCAGGCAAGTGTTGGGCAGTTGAAACTACAGTTTCCAGGTCACAACTTAGTTTGAGTGGTTTGGAAGAATTCTGTACCTCCCTTTTTAACTTGTAAGAACAATAGTAGCACCCATGTCACAGGTTTCCGGTAGGCGTCAGTAAAACAAACCTAGAACTGCTTACTCGGAGGCAGGATCCAACAGCGGATAGCAGATATTGGCCATTATTATGTAAATCGGTTTGTAGGAGCTTGAATCCTTGTGGATGTTGGAAACAAGTCAACCCTTGTTGTGGAATCATCCTAGTATAATTTGTGGTTGCTCTATATCACTGTCCTGGCTAGTTTTATGTCAACTTGACCCAAGCTAGAGTCATCGGAGAGGAGAGAGCCTCCATTGATAAAAATGCCTCCATAAGACGAACTATGGGGAAGCCTGTGGGACATTTTCTTAATTAATGATCGATGGGGGAGGGCTCAGTCAATTGTAGGTGGAGCCTCCCCTGGGCTAGTGGTTCTGGGTTCTATTAGAAAGCAGGCTGAGCTAGCCAGTAAGCAGTACCCTCCTTAGCTTCTGCATCAGCTCTTGTCTCTGGGTTCCTGGCTGATTGAGTTCCTGTCCCAGCTTCCTTCAACAACAGGCTGCGATGTGGAAGTGTCAGCTGAATAAACCCTTCCCTCCCCAAACTGCTTTGGTCGTGACCCAGCAATAGTAACGCAAGCTAAGATGCTCACTGTAAATACACTGAGGGATGCGCAATCTAGTAGGAAGCTGGAAATGTGGGGTTTGTAGTCAGGCATAGAGCCAAATCCCGACTCCACGACTTCCTAGCTGTGAAGCCTGGAAGAGAGCAGCACATAGCGTTTGTCTTTGGTTTTCTTTTTCATCTGTCAAATTCAGGGGACAGAACAGAACCTACGTCTCATGGTATTTTGAAGATTAAAGATAATATGTGGATAAACCATGGACTCTGGGCTCAAGCCACTTACCTTGCAATGCAGGGTGCATGCTTGTACACTCAGTAGCCGCAAACCCTCGGGCAGAGTGCTAGCTAGCACCTCTTTCGTACATGTGTGTCTGTGTGGGTAGGTGCACCTGCACCGTGCACACGGGTGCACTTCCTTGGGGGAAGCCTGAGGTCAGGATGCGCGTCCTTCATAGAACATTCTCCACCCTGTTAATTAGAGGTGGGATCTCTCAATGAACCTAGAGCTCCAAGATTCAGCTAGGGTGGCTAACCCATGAGCTTCGGGAATCTGCCTGTCGTTCTTTCCCCATCCATCCCCCAGTGCCGGCCTTACATGTGGCACTGTCACGCCTGGCTTTTTTTTTTTTTTTCTTTCGAGACAGGGTTTCTCTGTAGTTTTTGGAGCCTGTCCTGGATGCCTGGCTTTTTATATGGACACTGGAGACCCGACCTCAAACCCTTTTTGATCATGTGGCAAGCGCCTTATCAACTGAGCTGTCTCCCCTACACATCTAATGTTTTAGTTTTCTTTTCTGGAAGGTGGGAATAATAGTGAAATCTTCCTTTAAGAACTGTTGAGGAAAAGGTTGGCAAGGAATGTGAAGAGTCTGTCACCTTCCTCAAAAAGTTGAATGACTACTGGCTGGTTTGCTGTTTTTTTTTGTTTGTTTGTTTGTTTGTTTTTTTTTTTTTTTTTTTTTAAAACTTAGGCAAATTGACCGTAGCTAGCTTTTGGATAGGGCTCACTACATTAGCTACAGTTACATTTAGGGGAAGTTGTACGCCTTAGTTTTAATAACCCATTTCCAATTCCTTAGCTAGAAACTATATCTTGCCTTACTTAATATGTCACATGATTTAGTTAGTGTATGTCATGTGTTGGGATTAATAGGTTACTATTGGCATACCTTATTCAATTGTCCCTGCAGTGCTATGAAGTTGGCATTGCTATGCCAACTTACAAAAGTGTTGGGGCTTAGAGGTATAAATTAGTCTGCTCAATATCACACACACACACAAGTACCTAGGCTGGAATCTGATGCCCTGAAACTCCAGACGTTGCCTTTGCTCTTTTCCTGACTTCTCATGAGGAAGAAACTGTAGATGGAAGGAGGAGAGAACTTGGAGTAAACTCTGACACGGTAAAGAGGGCTGAGTGGGCTGAGACATCAGAGAGAGAGTGCGTGTGTTGGTGTCCGAAGGTGGAAAGACAGCTTTAGACTGTCCGGTGAGACCTTCACATCAGCCAAGTCTGTCCTGAAGAACAGAAACAGAGGTTGCATACAAAAAGAGACATATACCACTAGGCCACAAGAGGGCACCCCTCGCCCTAAATCCAGCCTGGAACTGTATGGTGTCTCTTAGCCTTTGTCTAATTAAAATCTGGCATTTTACTACAGAAGTGGAAAACTTTTAAAAAAAAAAAATCCCTAAGAGGCCAAATCCCGGGCAGACATAGCCTTGGGATCTGTTGGTTTGGCAGCACTCTGCGCATGCCTGTCTGAATCTTTTCAGCGGGCTCAGAAGTAGGCTCCACAGATGAAGCTGTCTATCTTCATCTTTGCTACAGGACCTGACCGCCAAACCTTCTGGAGCAAGTATTCCTGGGAGTAAAACACACTTCCAAAGCACATGCTTCCAACACATGTGTATCTGCTCATAAATCACACACATGTAGCATATAGTATATAAAACAATGTTTTAGTTTTTGGTCTTTAAAAGAGTATTTTTATTGTTCGTTCGTTTGATTGTTTGTTTGTTTGGTTGGTTGGTTGGTTGGTTGGTTGGTTGGTTGGTTGGTTGGTTGATTGGTTTGGGGGGGTATTTTGCTTTGGTTTGGTTTGGTTTTCATTTTTTTGTTTTGTTTTGTTGTTTTCTGAGACACGGTTTCTCTGTGTAACAGCTCTGGCTGTCCTGGAATTTGCTTTGTAGACCAAGCCGGCCTCAAACTACTCATGGAAATCCCCCTGCCTCTGCCTCCTGAGTACTGGGATTACAGGCATGTGCCATCACTGCTGGACTATTTTTTTTCCTTTTTGATTATGTGTATGTGTTGGTGTGGGTATGTACACAAGAGTGTCAGTACTCTCTGAGGCCAGAAGAGGGCATCATATGCCCTGGAGCTGGAGTTAGAGGTGGTTGTGAGCTGCCCCAAAGTAAGTGCTAGACTGCAAACTCAGAACAGTATGGCTCATTAACCACTGAGTATAGATTGTTAATCCAGCCCTGCAGCGTGAAACTGCTATTGAGCACATGTGTAATGAATCGGAAGCTGCTTTTCTTGTTCCTTCAGTCATATTAAAGCATTTAATCATCACAAAATACTGAGGGAGGCATGAGGCAACCCCATTTTACACAGCAGGAAACTGGGGTACAAAGAGTAAGTGATGTACCAAAACCACACAGTTAAGACGCAGGCAATCGAGCTTCAGAAAAGGTGGGATTTTAAAAAGAAAGGAGAAATAAATATAGTTGGCCAGAAAACACACATACCCATAATCCTGGCACTTGAGATTAGGAGGCAAGACGATCGGAAGTTCTTAGCCCAGTTACTTAGAGGCCTCCAAAGTCAGGCTGGGCTGGGGTTGGGGATTGCTGGAAGTGGGAGAGGGGGAAGGGAATATTAATATATTTTCTTCCAAAACCTGGCCCCAGGCTGGGAGCTCAGCACAGGCCTCTGGAGAAAGTGATGGCCGAGCTGAATCTTAAAGGATGTTTAGCAGGTGCCTGCCGAGAAAGGTCTTGTCGGTAGAGAAGCAGTATGTGCAAAGGTCCAGGGGCAAGAGTTCATGGTGCTCTGGGAGCCGTGTGTGGCTGACTCCATGTGCTAGAGCATCGGGGTGACCGTGTGGCTTTGAGGCTCAAGAGGATGATCTACACAAGCTTATCTTGGCATTTTCACTGAAGGAGAAATGACCTGTCTACTCCTGGACCACATCCCAGCTTTGTGACCCCCAGCTGTCAACTTGACCTGGTCTAAAGTCATCTGAGAGGAAAGCCTCCACTGAGAAACTTCCTAGAACAGATTGGCCTGGGGCATGACTTGGGGGACTAGCTTGATTGTCAGTTGGAGAACCAGGTTCACTATGGGCGGTACCAAACCTAGGCAGTGGTCCTGAACCCTATAAGAAAGATAGCTGAGCATAAACCAGCTAGCAAGTGGCACCCTCCGTGGATCTTGCTGTGCTTCTTGGCTGTGAGGTGCTCTCTCTGACGGAAGTGATGTGTGAAATAACAAGCAGGCCTGCCCTGATGTCCCTCAACAAGAGCGGTGGCATAGAATCGGAAGAAAAAAAAAAGAACCCTTTCCTCCCTTAAGTTGATTTTGACTCAGATGTTTTATCGCAGCCACAGAAGTGGCGTGAAAACATCTTCTGTGACCTTGGACACCAAAGGACCCCTTGGCCTCTTGAGGATCCTGTTGAACTTGACCTGGTACCAAGTCCCATAGCTTAGGAAGGCTTTATCTTCTTCCCAACATGCCCCACCTTTATTTCCCCTTTGACCCTCTGCCTCTTGCATTTCCACTGTATAAAAAAAAATTAACCAACCCATCATTTCTCGGATTTAGCCAGTTTACTGAGGTTTTAGAGATCACGGGAATGCCACATGCCCCACGAGCACCTGCCATCTCTCAGCTTTCCTCCTTCAACCTCCAATCTGTCCCCGTCTCTCCCCGACGCCCGCCAACCTGTGTCGCCAGCATGTGGATTCCTGCACCCGTAAAAGCTGACTTCAGACTCTCAGCCCCACTGTACCCCTCTTCCCCCACAGACACACTGACCCCCTGTCAAGCTGGCTTGCTTCTCCTGCCTCCACCCTAAAATTCACATGTGCCACCCTACTCCAAGCCTGGCTGCCCCCAGCTTGCTCCTCAGCCAAGCCCAAAAACCATCCTTTCTTTCATCCTCCTCGGGCCACAAGCAGTAGTCTCCTCGCCGAAGCAACCGAGCCAGTCTGTGGTAGCCGGGGAGCTGGTGTCGCGAAATGGGTTCCAGGAAGGCTAGCAGCAGCCTGGGAGGGAAGGGGGCAGCTAGCAGGAGAGAGGTGGCCAAGTGGAGCTCCAGGCGGCAGCGAGGGTCACACAGGGCCTGGCCGCTCAACACACAGAGTATGACACGGCTGCTCACCATGCTGTCTACCACATTATCAACTACATCCTTACCAGGTTCAAAGTCTCGGTCAGGGAGGCAGAGGTGCAGCCCCAGGCCAGCTGGAAGGAGGCCCTCCAGGGCAGACAGAAGTTCCTCTATTACCCAGCCCTGGTCTTGCCTGCAGTGGGACACGAAGACGTCAAAGAGGAATCTCTTTCCTTCATTCCCCTGACCCCTCCGACCCTGGAGCCAAAGCCTGAACAAGGCCTTCAGGTAAGGGATCCAAGAGTTCCTGGCTTCTTGGAAGAGTGGCAAGGCAATTAGCAGAAACACCAAAGCAGAGCTAGCTAGGAAGAGTTTTAACTCCAAAGTCTGGGGGCAGTGGCTCCAGAGAAAGGAGAAAAGGGAATGCTTGGCAGGCTCGCCCGCTTCGGCTGGGCATAACTGAGGGCCTAGTATTTGGATGTATGTTAGAGTGGACTGCTTAACCCACGGCTCCACCCATGCATTGGCACACTGGCAAGCCAAGGGTGAGTGCAGAATGTATATGTACTTGGGCATCTGAGGGCTATACTCCCTCAGACTGTCATGCAGCACCAAGTCCTTCTCAGTGTAGAGCGCTAAGACTCGGAGACTGGCCAGACGCTGGAAAGCAGTGGCCGACAGTGACTTGAGCCCTGTGTTGGACAGCTGTAGTGCCTGGAGCTGGGGAAGCTCACCCACCAGCTCCTCCAGCTGCACTGCCCGGGGCTGGGTTATGGATTGAAGGCTCTCCAGCTTCAGCAGCTGTAGGCTGGGCAGCCCAGTGATAAGGCAGGGTCTGGAATGGCTTCCAGCACCCCAGATCTTCAAGGACTGAAGTTTTGGGAGCTGCCAGAGAAAAATGTTGGAGGTGTCTTGGGAGCAGAAGGCCTCCAAGCTATTCTGGAGCAAGGAAAGTTGCCGAAGAGCAGGGAAGACCTCTGAGGCATTCTGCACCTCCAGCCTCAGTCCCCTGCCTCCTATAGTTAAGTTCTCCAAAAAGGGAAAGACGTTCGGGGACAGCTTCCAGTGTTTCAGGCCTGAGGCCGCATGAAGCTCTAAGCTGGTCAGATACATGGGCAGGGACAATACTGCCGGAGCAGGGAGAGAGGGAAGTTTCAGTTTCAAGGTATGCAGAGTCTCTGCTCCCCAGAAACCAGGGTCTGGGCTCAGTGATATTTGGGTGTCTAGCAGGCTAAGGGTGGTCAGCGCAGGCAGAGCAGTCAACCAGTTCTTACCCAGGTTAAGCAGGGGGTTTTTATCCAAGTTCAAGGTCTCTAGTTGCTGTAGATTCTGGAAGATCTGCCCCTCCAAGGAGAGCAGCTGGTTGTCCTGAAGCAGCAGTTCCCGCAAGTGTGGTAAACAGGAGAAGGTGCCCGGAGGCAGAACGCGCAGCCCATTGCTTGCCAGATTCAGAGTCATCAGTCCTGACACGTCTCTGGTCTCGTTCATGCACAGCGTCGGGCTCTGCACTTGGTTTCCAGCCAGGTTCAGTCTCTGAAGTCTAGGCATGGCAGCCAGAAGCCCCGGTGGTAGCTTCGACAGGCCAGTACTTGGAAGATTCAAGATCTTCAGGCTGCGGCAGGAAGCCAGGGCCTCCTGAGATATATTTCTTATCTTGTTGCTTCCCACATTCAACTCCTGCAGCTTGAAGTGGGCCACAGCCTCAGCGGGCAGTTCAGCCATGGCAGTGAGCTGCGCAGACAAGATGTCGAGTTTTTGGAGTCCCAGGGCCTTCACCTTCGCTGCCTCCAGACGTGTTCGGTCCAGGTTCAGAGTCTCCAACTGGAGACCCTGGAGGGACCCAGGACTAGCCATCGTCAGTCCCTGGCTGAATGACAAATCCAACATGTGTAGGGTCCACGGATCCCTGGAAGAAGAGCCTTGCACCAGATCTGGAAACATGCCAGCCAGCTCCCCCACATCCTGAAGGCAACCGTTCTTGATAGCCAACCATTGTAGACTGCGAGGCAGTCGGATGCCTGCCTTCTTGTTCAGGCAGGGTCCTGAGATATAGAGTCTCTGGAGGGAAATCAGGTCGGCAAAGGCTTCGGGAGGTAGAAAGAGGGGATTCTTCTTTAAAGGATGGTCTACAAAAGAGAGTTTCTGCAACTGTCCCAAGCCTCGGAGAGCTCCTGGCAGGAGTTGGGTGAGATGCAAATTCAACCCCAGGAACTTGAGTCTGGGAAAAGCAGAGAAAGCATCTGGAGGCAGAGAAGACACTGAGCCGCTGAGGCAGAGCCCCTCTATAGTCCGAGGCACAGCTGCCAAGGTCTGTGTCAGGTTGGTCACTGAGAGGCATGTGGCAAGGAAGGACACCTGGGAGACAGGGCAGAGAGAGAAGTAGCGAGAGACCAGGGGCAGTTGGGAGCCTTCCGTCAGTAGGCATTTGGAAGTAGTCCAGCCTGTCGCCAGAGGCAGGCAAAGGAGCAGGCCAGGCAGCAGCGAGTGCCAGCCCATCTCAACACCAGCAGAATCAGAGCAGGGAGGAACTCGTGTACGTTGCCAATACTCACAAGACGGGCAGGAGACGCATCCACTTCAGAAACCCTGCAAGGTCTGAGAACATAGATAAAGGGCCACAGGGCCTCTCGCTGTGGAAGTTGGGAAGCTGGGAGAAAGAAGTGAGGAACCAGACTCAGGGACATGGGGCTGAGTCTCCAAGGGGCAGGGCAGGGAAGCCCAAGGGTGGTGAACTGGAACCTGGTCTCACTTCTCTGTTAGGAGAAAACAAAGGGAGTTTCTTTTCTTCTTCTTGTTTTCTTTCTCATGTACAGTCCAGGCTGTCTGGAAACTCAAGGTGTAGAGTTGCTGGCATCACGGGTGTGCACCACTGTACCTAGTTAAGGCAGTGCTGGGGTTAGAAGCCAGACTTTGGTAGTGCGTGCTAGGCAAGCACTCTACCAATTGAGCAACATCTGCATCCCTCCCCCACCCCCCACCTCCCACCCCCTCCCCACCAGTAGAGTTTGTAAGCTCAAGATTTGGATCCAGTCAGACTTTCACACTGTGCAAAGCATCTCACCTCTTGTGAGCCTGTTCTCACCTCTGTCCAGGATGCGGACTAAGCCCTGCTCTGTAGGATTGCTGCAAATGGAGATTCAGGTCAGCATGGGCTTTTCTCCTCATCACTTTCATTATGACTTCCTTTACTGACACCCTGGAGTTCTTGGATAAACACAAAAGGGAATGTTCTCTTTTGTACACATCACCCTGAGTCTGTCAAGGACATCTTGTAGACTCTGCGAGGAAAAATCCCAAGAGTCATTTCACCCTGAGAGGACTGGGAGTAGGGAGGGCTCCACCTCTGCTCTCTGAGACTGGGGCAAAGAAAGAAAGTCCCCCATCCTTGACTGTGACATGCACTGCCAGAATAGGGCTGGGACCCATGGGAGAGCAGAAGGAGAAAGAGAGGAGCAATGTGATTACTTCAAACCATGAAGGAAGGCGTTCAGCACATGTCAGCATCTGTTTATGATTTGAAAAACTAACAAACTCAGAAAGAAGAGATTCCTCTCGACTTCAAATGGCTTAGATCTCCCATCCTCAGTGCCTTTGGTAAAGCCAGGAGTGAGCCAACTGCATTTCTGCTCAGCATGGGGATCAAAGAATGACAGGACAGGAATGAAAACAATGGAATGAAAGGTATTTTAAAAGAAGAAACACGAAGGTTACTGTTGAAGGAGGCCGCCTGTTTGTTTCCCGGCTGCCCAGAAATGGAAATAATCACACAGAAACTATATTATTTAAATCACTGCTTGGCCTATTAGCTCTAGCTTCTTATTGGCTAACCCTTACATATTAACTTAACTCATTTCTATTAATCTGTGTATCGCCACATGGTTGTGGCTTACCAGCTAAAGTTCTGGCGTCTGTCTCTGGTGGGACTACATGGCATCTCTCTAACTCCATCTCCTTTCTCCCAGAATTCAGCTTGGTTTTCCCCACCTAGTTCTGTTCCCCTATAGCTCTGCTATAGGCCCAAATCAATCCCTTCATTTATCAATGGTAATCACAGCATACAGAGGGGAATCCCACATCAGGTTACCATGTGCAGGATGCTTGATGCCTGCTTGGGAAACCTGAGAATTTCTAAAACCAAATCCATAAAACAAAGGATATTTAGCAAAGATGTTCAGTATTGGCCAGGTAGTGGTGGCACACACTTTTAATCCCAGTACTCGATGGCAGAGGCAGGCAGATCTCTATGAGTTCAAGGCCAGCCAGCTTGATCTCCAAGAGCTAGTTCCAGGACAGCTAGGGCTGTCCTACACAGAGAACCCTACACAGAGAACCCTGTCTCGAAAAACAACAGCAAAAAAGATGTTAGTATTAGGTCCGGTTTCTTAAAATTCTTCTAATATGCCTGTGAGTTAGTCAGCGTCACTATAAAGAACAGACAACACGTTCAAACTAAGGTGTCTCTAAGAATTTACTATGCAAAAAGACCTACCACAAGGGGTTAGGAGGCAGGCTGAGGGGGCACCAATGGGTTGATCAGGAGCCCAGGCATGATTTGCAGACATAAGAGCTGTCTCCTCTCCTAGAAAGGAAGGACCACGAGTGATAGAACCCTGGAGGAGTTTTGAAGCTATCTCCAGAAGAGCAATGGTACCTGAGGAGACATAGAAGAATAGGTGTCTATATGTTCAAATCTCTCTCAACTTCATGGCTCTGATCTTGTCCTTGGATGTTCCATAGGCCCCCAAATCAGAGGGGGAACCCCATATGTAAATCCATCCTGGTAAATTCCCTGAGCACTGAGAAGATGGAGGACAGCAGAGATGCTGGCAGCCGAGGATCAGGAAACACTTTGCTCATAACCCCAGTCAGTGCCCAGGAGACTGAGGCAGGAGGATCGCGAATATAAGTTCACACTGTACTATATAGTGAGTTCCCGGTTAGTCTGAGCTAAATACAAAGACACTGACTGAAAGGTCAGAGCGAGAGTGAAGAGGGGAAGGAAGGAGAAAAGGACAAAATCTGAAAATTAGTGAGGCCACAAAGTTAGAAAAGGAATAAGCCAACAGAAACACCACCCGACTTCCTCCATTTATGAAGTAACCCACGCCTCCCAGCATGAACACCCGTCAAACTGGGCTAAACACATGAATCAAATGCTTCCAGACTTGAGGACTTTGTCTTTGTACATTTGTGTTCCACAACAAACAATACCTCAAACCTAGAGAAAAAGTACTTAAAAAATATATATGAAGAACTGGATGGAAAAGTGGGGGGGGGGGGGGCTGCTTGCTGTCAACCTGATGACCTGAATATGATTACCAGGACCCACCTGGAAGTACTCACCTCTCTTTCCACACACAAAATAAATAAATAAAAATTCAGAATAAAAAATTTTAAACTTGGATCTAGTGGCTCAGTTTTAACCAGGGCTTCCTGGGAGACTGAAATATCACCCTCCCTCTGGACTACAGGATGAGTTCAAGACCAGCCTGGAAAACATAGTGAGACCTTCTCCCAAAACAAACAGCAAAGTCTGAGGATACCGTCTAAGAGTTGGATACATGGAGCCTTAAATTCAATCAATCCCCAGCATTGGGGTGGGGTAGGGGAGACTGATTAAGAGAATGCAAAAATCTATAGGTAAGTGGGGCTTTAGGAATGGGTCAGCTAAGACTACTGACTACTCTTCCCAAAGATCAGGGTTCAATTCCCACCACCCATGTAGTGGCTCACAATCATCTGTCACTCCAATCCCAGGGACCTGACTCCCTCTCCTGAATTCTGTCGGTACCATTCACACACAGTGCACAGACATACATGTAGGCAAAACACCTTTACACATAAAATAAAATTTTAAAATTGAAATAAATTTATAGATAAGTGGGCAGAATACAGTTATAATTATATCTAGTCACCTGTTTCAAGAAAACCCTGCTTAAGCCTACCTATCTTCATCAAAGATAACTCAAGATACAACATAAGTCAATAATTCTCAACCTGTGGATCAAGATCCTTTTGGGAGTCAAATGACCTTTCTACAGGGGTCCCATATCAGATATCCTGCATACCAGATATTTACATTATGGTTCATAATAGTAGCAAAATTACAGTTATGAAGTAGCAATGAGAACGCTATGGTTAGAGTCACCACAACACAAGAAATGGTGTTAAAGGGTCACAGCATCAGGAAAGTTGAGGATCATTGCATCATCAATCCAACTGTGGAAACAGAATCCTGTCACAGTCCTGAGAGAAACATAAATTTATGTATTTTTTTATTTATTGGTTTTTCAAGACAGGGTTTCTCTGTAGCTTTGAGACCCATTCTAGAACTAACTCTTGTAGATCAGGCTGGCCTTGAACTCACAGAGATCCACCTGCCTCTGCCTTCCAAGTCCTGGGATTAAAGGTGTGCGCCACCACTGCCCAGCTAGAGAAACATAAATTTCTTAAATAAGCTACAAAAACACCAGCTATAAAGAGACGTTTTTCATATCTTGACCTCACCAAAATCAAAAAGTTGTATGTTAAAGGATGGGACCAAGAAACTAGAAGAAAAGCTACCTGCAGAAGGAGGTACTTGCAACATGTGTGTGTGTCTAAGGACTTATACCTGCAAAATATAATAGCTTCAAATAGCCCATAGATCAAAGAAGGAACCATACTGAAAATCAGAAAGCTTTTCGATTGAATAATAATGAAAATTGAAAATACTACGTCGCAAAACCTGTTAACTAAAGTAAATACCCACCCTTAAATGCCTGTGTTCAAAAATCCACACCAAGTTCATAGCCACACCTCCCAGACATGCCCAGTCTCATCTGGAAACCAGCATCAAAAGCTGAAAGTCACAATCTAGGCACATCCTCAAAAAGTTAGAAAAGGAACAATTACAAAAAAGAAGATTCCCACTTCCCCTTTGCACAGTAGCACATTCCAACCACGAACACCCGTCATTCTGCACTGGAGACATCAAACAACCTCTCCCAGGTAGTGGATGCCATCTCTAGGATGTCTGTGCTGCCTCGGCACAATACTGCAGACCAGGCACTGTAAAATAAATGGGAATTTGGGAGCAGGATGTGGGAGGAAGGAAGGAAGAAAGGCAATGAGAAGATGTCGTCAAAGTATAATGGTATATATGGGAATATATAATGAAACTCACTATTCTGTATGCTAACAAAAAGCAGAAACACCGTTCTTCCAGATCACTGTGGTAACTAATCTTGGCTATCATTGTGAAAAGTCTAGAAAGAGAGAACATCAATTTAGAACTGCTCCCATCAGATTGGGCTGTGTGCCTGTCTGTGAGGCATTTTCTTGGTTGCTAATCGATACAGGAAGGCCAAGCCCACTATGGTCAGTACCATTCGTAGGCAGATGGTTCTGGGTTCTGAAAAAAAAAATGTAGCCAAACATGAGCTAGGGAGCAAGTCAACAAGCAGCATTCCTCCATGGTTCCTGCCTCTGCTCCTGCTTGAGTTCCTGTCCTGACCTCCCTCCATGATGGGTTGTGACCTTAAAGAATGAGATGAAATCAAGGCTTTTCTCAACAAGTTGTTTTTGTTCATGGTGTTTATTACAGCAATAGAGAGACAAACTGTAACAATTACAGTGTCCAAAATAAACCACCTAGTAATTAGCTAAAATGGTTATTTAAAACTATTTTCTGTATTGAAAAACAAAAGGCAATTTATTTCATACAGTCTAGAGGCTGGGAATCCTCGGGCAAGACATCAGCAGGCCTGGCTGTCTGGTGAAGGCTGCTTTCTGCTTTAACTTGGTACCCACATCTTCATCCTGCCCCCAAACTGGCACATGACGGCGGGTAGAAAGGCAAGCTGGCTGGACCATGCATAAATTTTCCTTTATAAGAGTCTTAATTCCATTCACAAAGGCGGAGCCTTTAGGGATCTAATCACCTTTTAAAACCCTACTTAATAAGACATTGTCGCCAGACGGTAGTGGCACACGCCTTAAATCCCAGCACTCAGGAGGCAAAGGCAGGTGATCTCCGTGAGTTCGAAGCCAGCCTGGTCTACAGAGCAAGTTCCAGGACAACCAGAAATGCTACACAGAGAAACCGTGTCATGAAAATAAATAAATAAATAAATAAATAAATAGCACATTGTCAGCATCTGAATTCTGAAAGGGACATGGGGAAACCATGGTGATGGCCA